ACAAAAAACCTAGCCTAAAATTTCAGTATGACACTGAAGGAAGAGTCTTGCTTGGACAGTACAAAATTCTGAAAGAGCAGCCAGCTGTAATCATGTCTGGTTTGTGCTTTGTTCAGCCATCTTGATTTTCATCCCCTTCAGATTCAGATTCTAAGAGACAAAGAGAAAAATAGTAATTTTCTTATAGCTATAAACCCCCCCTCCCCCACATACACACAAAAATAAGCCACAAACAAAAAGAAGGAGATTGAGAGTGAGAAGCATTCATTTCAAGTCAATGATGTAATGCCTTCTATTGTCAAGAATAATTTTGTCCAGCCGGGATATTTCCTACATTCCTCATTAAGTTGTGCTGCTGGGAATGTTGTGGCCATATATGTGGAGGGCATCTGGCAGGGAGAGATAGGCCTACAAATGCCTTGATTAAGGCTGGGTTGTAAATTAATCATTCACAAAAGGGGAAAAAAATCTCAGATGGGGACCTTCATATGTTGGGAACCTGCAAATTATAACACAGATATTTTTTTAATAAGAAAAAGTGGGAAGGAGAGACTAATAATAGACCCAAGGTAACAGAGGGATGTAACAATTACTTTTCTGTCAATTGCCAGTCCTGGCAATCATCTCCCCCAAATAAAAAATAATAAACCTGGAGGTGTCATTGTTTCACCATGTACCACTATTCCCACTAAATATCTGAAGGTCTAGCTCTGAAGGTCACAAAAATCTCCCTGCTCACCATAAAAAAACCCAAAAAACTGATGGACCATGTCTCTTATCATCAGTCATACAGTGTTGCTGTTCTGGCCAATTTGGCCAGCATTTCACCAACCTTTCTTGAAGGAAAGGGCCCTGAGCTACATTAGCCTTTCCACAATACTGCAACAGATCAAAACAAGCTTTCCCCAGTGTGAATGATGCGGAACAGTCCCAACTATCTTTAGGACTCAGCATTAAAATCTATTCCCCCATCGCTAGCCAACCCTCTCCCCATGCCTCCCCTACCACTGCAGTGCTGACTCAGCAATTCCAAAGATGGCGGCTGCTTCCTTGGGACAAGTTGCCTGTGTTGCTATAATGAAACAAGACTGTCATAAAATGTAGCTATGCCTTTTCTTTTTCATCATATTTATTCTTTATTTTGCAAGATCTTGTTTCCTTGGTTTTCAATTAGAATACTATAGGATGGTGTAATTAAAGGCAAAACTCATACAAACAAAAGGAAAACAAAGAACAGGAACACTGCTGTTCATTTATTTGTGAAAAGCCCCGAGGCATGAGGTTTAGACAGGTTTTCTTTACTAACTCCTCCCATGGCACCAGTTACTGCTTCTTGCCACAGATAATTATATTATGTTTGAGTCTGTTTGTTTTAAAGAATCTACAAAGTTCTGTCTCTGTCTTTGGGGATGTTGTGTGAGTCATCCTCTGGGGGAGATGGTGGCACATAAATTTAATAAATAAATAAAATGTTACTTCAGCCATTATTTTTTAAAGAATCAGTAAGTTAAAGAATTGATAGAAACTGAATAAAGCAAACAAAACCCTTTAATTCTGAAGGCAAAGTACGAACTCATAATTACAACCTGCCAATCATGTATAGCTAATATAGAATTAGACTTCAAGGGGATCTGTTTTAAGACTTTTCAGCAGGATACAAAAATACTTCTCCAGGAGAGGCCACCGTATAGAGATGAAGAAGGAATGAAATCAACCACAGCGATTCAAACAACAATTTTTTATTCCCATATTAACTCTTGGTAGAATATACAGGGGAGCTAAGGCATTAAACATACATTCTTTCATTAGCTTTTCATTTAGGAGCAGAAGCAGCCAATCTTGCAGTTATTACTAAAATATATATTCAACATTTCATCTCAAATGATACCCAGTAAATAAGGTGATGAGCTCTTAGCTTCAGGGAAGCAACAGTGAATTAAACGAATGCTTTTGGATGTGCTAGTCACAGACTAATTTTACAACCAGAGCTGTAATGCATTTCAGTGACAGACTGCTTGAAACATTCTACCACATTATTTCTTGGATTTTTTTTATAAATAACTAATGTATTTAGAAAAATTACTTCCAGGTATTTGCCCGGAAGGGTGATGTGAATTTAAGTTGTCACCTCCCCCAAAAGAATAAAACTTCTAAACATTGAAAAAAATCCTATGTTCTGCTTCTCCACCTTGTTAAGACACCATCTTCCAGCTGACAATCTTGTAGTTCTCCCCCTCTCAATCAATGCATGTTTGTAACTCTTATACATGTACTGTATGTATATAAGTGAATGTGTGAAACACTTATATACGTATACACAAATCTTTCTGGAATAGGTGGGAGCATATACAAAACACCTCTTTTTAAACTTTTTAAAGCAGCCATGTCTTTCCAGCTTACAGGACTGCTTTGGAAACTGCTCCAGGCTGTCTCCATATGGGTGCATTTTGCTCAGTAAAATGACATGGCTGTACATCATATGGAGATAGACAGGAGCAGCTTTGGGAACAGATGTATGGGCCTATAAAAAGACATGGTTGCTTCAGAAATGCTTTGCATGCATTCCTGTGAATTTCAAAGCACTTTTTGTGAAGGATTTGCAGAGCTCTAATATATAACTGCCAGAAACTTCAGTAAAAGAGCACGGTCAGTGTGTGTGTTTCTGTGTGTGTGCACACATATACTAATAAATATAAGGAATAATACTTGTAAAATAAGATAGACCATTTATGAAATAACTAGTTCTCTCAACTGCACAGAGCAACCATTCTCTCATTTTCACACAATTGTCACATACAGGTTCACATATTTTCCTCTCCCTCCCTCCAGGAGAAACCAGAAAAGGAAAAGTAAAGGATGGAGATGAGATGAGTGGAAAGAGTAGCTACTCAGGGAAGGCAAGGCAAGGAGTTACTAGACTGGGAAGAAAGAAGAAAGAGTAAAAAACTTTGTTTAGAAATTACAGAAAGGGCTAAATTTACCAACAGCAGGGATAAGTAATCTGTAGGCTAATCATTTGGAGGAAAAAAGATGGTCTGAAGCTCATCTATAAACAAGAATGCCAAACACTGAAGACCAACTAAATTTTTGCAACATATTATAAAGCCACAGCAGTTATTTAAATGTATTCATGCTTCTGGGGATGAGAGAGGAGACCAATGATGTCATAGGAAACTCAACTCTCTTGAATCAAATTACTGATCTGACTGGCTCAGTGTTGCTGATATTGACTGAAAAAGACTTTCTCGCCCAACCCAGCAATGATAGAGACTGAACCTGGAACCTTCTGTGTGCAGAGCAAAGATTCTCTCATTGATCCAAGTCTCCACCCAGGAGAGACTATTTAAGCCTTGTTCAATTTGGGCAATGGACAATCCAATTGCTCCCTGGGCCAAAGACTCTCAGAGCTCCAGATAAGCAAAGAACAGCCTGACTTTTGAACATACATTTGATTCCAAAATTACCTTCTTCAGCATTTTGCAGCCATTCCACAAACTTCTTCATTTGATCAAGAAACACACTTTTGCCTTTAGCAAGATGTGCCTCTTTGAACCATTTCAAGATGGCTTCTTCACTTAGGACATCAGCTGCAGTTCAAAACAAGAAAAATAATCATTAGTAGATGTTTCTGGATAGAGGGTGAAACCATAAATACTACTGCTACTTAAAAAAAAAAACATGCTGAAATAATTTTACTACTGTGGGCAAAGACACAATAAGGCTATAGTTGGAAATTAAGACATGAAAGAAATGTCAGCTAAGTTGCTAGCATTCAATAATTGATGATAAATATTATTATTTATGCTCAAAAGAACAAAATGTATAAGTTGGTATGATGTAAGAGTTAGACTGCTGTCTATTTGGACAGGCAGAAACACAAAATAGGCACCATATGTCTAGGTTTTTAGACAATTGAAATGAGATCAGCTTTACTCAATCTGGGGCTCATCAAATCCATTGGGATCACAACTCCTAATAACTACTTTAAAACGGGGAATATTGCTTCAGTATTATCACTGCTTGAGAAAAGCTGTTTTAAAACCATTGAAATAAGTGGGACTCCTATTAATCATGTTTGCTAAAGTGTCATGTATTTCAACATATCTAGTTCTAACTATAAGTCTGGCTCTGTCCCAGTATCTGTGGCAACCAGGATCTGTCTTAATACTGAGGATGTGATTCTGACTACCCTGGAGATACATTATCTAATTCTACTCTTTTAAAGCACCGTCCATGTTGGCCATACTGTATGTTTAGGGCTTCACCAAAATTTCTTCATAGGAATGCATATGGGAGGTTGTATGTATCTCATATGAAAATGATCACATGTAGTTTACTGCACACATGCATTAATAAACAACAGCCAATCACTGCATTTTCAGTATACATGATTGTTATGCATGATCAATCACATGACATTTGCCAGCTAATACATGTAAGCGATTTCCTTGTAATGAATTGACCCAATGAATATCATTTTATAAAATGGGATAAGCTCATAAACAATATTTTAATTAGGCTTTGGATATTTGCTACAATTATTCTGTGAACAGCTTTATCTTCTTCATTTTAGGTTGTTCTACAAGTTGAACAACTTTCACTGGAATAACTTTTTAAAACAACATCAGTAATAATTCTTTCAGAATTGGCTAAAAAGCACAAAAATAAAAAATTTAAAGGCCAACTGATTTTTCTTTTTATTTTGAGAAAGTCTGATTGTAATTTTCGTATGCTTTCCATATATAACGTCTTGCAAAAGGGAGATTCTGTCTCTATTAAACAATCATGCACCACTGAATGTCTCTCAAGCTTGCATTTTGGAGTAGCAATTTAAAGATGATTACATAGATATTTTAAATGCTACTACAATTTTTAATGAACTTTTATGGGACATGGTGTTTTCACAATAGCCCTGGAGAATCATCACTTGGAACAGAGCACACAAACTGATGCACTAAGAGAAATTTTAGAGACTGCCATCTTCTACATCTCCAAGGAAGAGCAACAGACATGTAAGAAAAGATGCGCACATAGCAAGATAAGCTGTGAAAAACTGGCAGACACTTTCTGACCTGCAGAATTAATATGCAACCAATTAAAAGTCAATATAAATTATGTTTGCTTCCATATGGCAGGAGGGCAAGAGCCAAGAATACCAAATTACCTGGCAGGGTTTATCCTTTAAAATTGAACACGCAGTAGTTGTGAATGAAAGGCAGTACAGAATAATTTATGGACGTTACAGGAGTTTGAGATTTGGTGAGATTATTGAAGTCAGACTTTTAGTCAACAAATGAGCAAGGATCTGATTTATGAAGAACAGGAATCAAAACAATATTTAATTTAATGACAGTTTTAAAAATAATATCTTCCACAAATGAATGTATCCAATTAAGTTAATTGGAAAGAGATTTAGAAATCATATCTTCACACAGCACCGTAATTTATATGTAGAATTCATTACTACAAGACATGTTAAGGTCCATTAACTGAGATGGGTTTGAAAGAGGATTGAATATATGCATGGAGGTCTTTGAAGGCACACCTTCAAATATGAGTTGCAAGGGAAAACAGTGACAGATGTATATTTCTCCACCTCCTGCTTGTAAGCACCTCAAAAACGTCTAGTTGGTCACTATGAAAACAAAATGGTGAAATAATAAGTTGGATCTTGACCTGGTACAGCAAGGCTATTCTTATGTTCTAAGCTTCTTTCATGCTTAAAGATACAGGTGAAAACAGGGGGTGGGGGGGACATATACAGTGGGGCAAAAAAGTATTTAGTCAGCCACCAATTTTGCAAGTTCTCCCACTTAAAAAGATGAGAGAGTGAAACGTGGCTGGGTCTTTCAGCATGACAATGATCCCAAACACACCGGTGTCTTTTATACTGATAACAAGGTCAAACAGGTGCCTGAAACGTGGCTGGGTCTTTCAGCATGACAATGATCCCAAACACACCGGTGTCTTTTATACTGATAACAAGGTCAAACAGGTGCCTGAAACGTGGCTGGGTCTTTCAGCATGACAATGATCCCAAACACACCGGTGTCTTTTATACTGATAACAAGGTCAAACAGGTGCCTGAAACGTGGCTGGGTCTTTCAGCATGACAATGATCCCAAACACACCGGTGTCTTTTATACTGATAACAAGGTCAAACAGGTGCCTGAAACGTGGCTGGGTCTTTCAGCATGACAATGATCCCAAACACACCGGTGTCTTTTATACTGATAACAAGGTCAAACAGGTGCCTGAAACGTGGCTGGGTCTTTCAGCATGACAATGATCCCAAACACACCGGTGTCTTTTATACTGATAACAAGGTCAAACAGGTGCCTGAAACGTGGCTGGGTCTTTCAGCATGACAATGATCCCAAACACACCGGTGTCTTTTATACTGATAACAAGGTCAAACAGGTGCCTGAAACGTGGCTGGGTCTTTCAGCATGACAATGATCCCAAACACACCTCTCTCATCTTTTTAAGTGGGAGAACTTGTACAATTGGTGGCTGACTAAATACTTTTTTGCCCAATGTATTACAAGAGATTGATTTCACATTGAGTTTAATTTACTTGACTAAGGTAGTGGCCTTATTCTTTATGACATCTCTGTATTTTTAAAATACAACAGTAAAGGAAAAATAGGCTCAGTAACTTTTAGCAGACAAAAATCCTTCCATTTATAGTGGTCATTACACCATTCAATACAGCACAAACAAAGCCATTATAAAACTGTTCTACTGAAGCTGTTTTTCCCCCTTCAAGTATTTATAGCAGCAAACCCATATAACATCCAGCCAAAGAAAGAATTTTGGTTTCCATGACAACCTAATCTAAGCTTGATGTGAACACAATCCTTATATAAAACTGAAAACAGGGAAAGGAAGAAACCCAACAGCTTAGCCAAAGAATTGACTGCTTTCATGTATCCTTTTTGAACAAAAAGATAAATGACTTGTTCCTTTCAGAAACCTCTTCCCCTGAATTATAGCCTGTTTAATATTTCTAACACTCACATTCAACTTTCAGGCCTTTGTAGCTGTGCCTGGATCCAAGTCCAACTTAGCCAGCAGAGAAGCAACCCCAAAAACTGTCTTGACTTTGCTTCTGGGCCTTTTAGCGCCTGCCTTCGTATTTAGCATACAGTTACCTTTCATCAAATTAGTACAGAGCTCATTCTGTGGAACAGTGGTCATGTTCTGGGTATTTCAGTTCATTATACTTTCTAAGCCATAGATATATTACTTGAGGGCCACAAGGATGTCAACTGAAGGCCCTTTATTTCTTAGTTTGCAGCATGATCCACGGCCATTTAAAAGACTGACATGGTGTCTGACCCAAGAAAATTGCAAACCCCGGTCCAAATTTGTTTCTCATAGTGGCCAACAATTTGCTTCCAAAAAACCAAACTTGCAAAAAAAAAAAAAAAAAAACAAATGAAGATGAATCCTAACCTACCCCACTACTGTTCCCCAACACCCGGACATATTGACGCGAGAAGGTAATATAAAAAAATGGAAATAAAACAAAAATAAAGTCAATAGGCTTTTATGGACTTGTGTTATAACCATGCTTCTTTGTTAGGCTGGTCTGAGAACAAATCTGGCCCTCTTGGAGAAGACTTGTCAGCAGCTGATCTTGTCTATAGAACAGTTAGGAAGAATCCAAAGAATAAGGACTATTCTCCTTCAATCCTCAGTAAAGTCCATGAAACTATGACAGGAGCTATAATTCTGCCACATATTCTTCTGGGGGACTACAGGAGGACATTTGGTGATGCTGTGACATCACAAGGAGGGTAGCAGCGCTGGTTTTCACCCCATTTTGATATTTTTAAAGAGTAGATTAGAAATGAGAAGCTTCTTGGAGGCTCCCTTTCCCACTCCCCAAATCACCCAAAATTGCACTATGACCTTTGTGCTGCCAAAATTCAGCAGTTCAATCTTGAGATGCTGATGTGTTCATGCAGTCCATAGGACTCCATTCCTTGTGTATCAGATTACAGTACACTACATGGTATTCCAGATAAAATTTGTTTGCTAGATGTATGGCAAATAAAATAGGAACTATCTGACATGCTCTTATGATGACACATTGACCTGTGTAAATCTTTTTGATAAACAAGCTAGAAACAAAGGTCTGTCAACCTCTAGCAACTTCTTTGGTAAACGAAGCCAGACATTGAACTCTTCTCAAACTGACTTTTTCACTATTCTTCACTTCATTTATTACTGTTTTTGTAACTTCAGTTTTGTGCTAGGATCTATTTTTTCCAACTCCTTTATATCAATAGGCCATCAAAATGTAAGCCTCCGTATCTGATATCTCTTGGTTTGTTCTCCCACTGCCCTTAAAAATCATTTTTAGAGCAACATTTACTTGAATTAGCTGACACAGTATTCAGTTGATTAGGCTGATCGAGTCACTAGTCAACTGTACTTAAGCCAAAGTAGAAACACCTGCTAGTGTTTTGACTTTGGGGCTGAAACCTAATTTTTCTGTAATGCATTTAGCCCAATGGGTTAATAATAATAGCCATGCAAGTGATTATAGGAAATGGGAAAGCTTTGGTCTCCCAAATGTTACTGTGTGATGCATATCTCCCAACGAGTGGAATTGCTAGAAACTCACACGCCTTTTGTTAAACATGGTCTGCAACTGAAAGTTCTATTCCAGCTTAGGAAAAAGCCTTTCAGTGTTAACATTCTGGCAAGACATGCCCTGAACAATGTACTGAGCTTTTGGAAGCTGTTCTGATAAACACTTAAAGTTTGTGTCTTTTGTTAACATCTGTAAAGTTACAGACATTGTGTAAGATCAAAAGCCACAGAAGTAGTCACCAAGGAGGATGTATGCTGATTTGAACTTTCCTGTTCAAGGAAAAGTGGAATATGAATTTGAATATAAATTCACACCCACCTACACACCTGTCACACTTTTATTATTTTTCTTATGTTGAATGTAAAAAGAGATCAAATCTTGAGATACTTGCCAATGTTCAAGTTCGTGGTGTCCTGCTCCAATTGCTAAATCTGATCACTTCATTAAGCCCTCTGTTTAGGATAATCTTGACAAGGTTCTGTCTATCATTAGTCATGATGGTAAAGAATCTCATTGTTTGTCTCTCCCCTAAGCCCAGGAAGGAGAAAGAAAAAAGCATCCCCCCCCCCACCTTTTCTTCTTTCCATTTGGCAGTTCATTGATCTCCTAACATCCCAAGGTGAGGTCTCCATTTTTTTTTCTTTTTATCTGCTAAATTCCCCAAGGAAAGAATCAAAACAGCCCTTCCTCACCCACCCAACAAATCAGAGAACACCTTAACCAACAACTCTTCTTTCTTCCTCTCTCTCTTGTTTTCATTCAGAGGAAAAGAAAGGATATTTACAATCCTATGCTCTTTTTTCTTTTGTTTTTATAGAGGGAAGAATGGGACTTCTGCTCAAATGAATAACTCTCATCATTCTCTCTTTCTCTCTCTCCCCTTTTGGTTATCCAAAAAAAGCAAAGTCTGCTTCCATTACACAGAAGCCAGCAGTCAAGGACAGGTAACTCCTTTCTTTTTTCTTTTCCTAACTGGTCCAAAAATTAAGTAACTTCTTATTTGAATGTCCTTTTTTTACATTTTCTCAATGAACTCAATTTTTGCAACCCTCCATCTGTCCTTTTCCTTCTTTTAAGGTTGCTTTATTCACATGCCTTCCTACTTTTCCTATAGTCAACCTATGACATTAATCACTGTAGTTTAAGATTTCTCTGCTAATTTTTATGCTGATAACTAATTGAGATCTCTGTGTTAGCCTTGAGACTGTCAATTGTTTTAAGAACTCTGTATTAGCTTGCAAACTATTAATTTTTTCTCCTGAATCCCAAATGACTGTTTGATTGCTTTGTATGCCATTTGCCTCAAACATTATTTAATAAATGGTATATATTTGTTATTAATTATAATTTCACTTTTTGGGTATCCAGGACACATATATATGTTTAATAACCTATAGTGTTCAGATTCTGACAGAACTAGTACTGTGGTGGATCCCAGTTCATAACAATGAAGCCCACTTAAATCAAGATAGCAATTTAATGCAGAGTTACAATCTGAAAGGTTGGGGAAGACAATTTTACACTTATAAAAGTAATACATAAATAGTGTACTAATTATGCTTTAGAATGATTTTGTATTTTTAAAATCTATTATGGATGGAAAGTAATTGAATATAATAAATATAACCAATATTTTAAATGAAAGAAAAGTAGATAAAAGACAGTACCTTTATAAAAGAGCACCACAATCTTCTGAAAGGCTTTCATAAAGTGGATGTTATCATAGCAGTATTCCTGAACTTTCTGAAGAAGGATCAGTTCTGACTGGCCTTGGGTGCTGAACACTGCCAGTAAAGGTGCATATTGCTAAAACAATCAAAAGAGAAATTGGTTTGGTTATTTACAGATAAATGTGAAGGAGAATATTATCCAAATGTTTCAAAGGATCCAAAGTAAGGGCTGACAGAGGTGATTTTATAACATTTTCAAAACAGAGTAGGAATTTTTGGAATTTTAGTGCATTTTATGGTGGATTTTAGTGGCTGTTAGACGTTCTTATGATACGTAAGCACTGAAAGCCAGGAAATGGGTGGCTGGCTGCACGCATGCATGCACGCACACACATGTGCTCATCATTCATTTATTCTCAGTCCCTTGTAGAGCTGAAGTCTGCAACTGAAATTGAAACTGCAAAGTAAAATTAATTAAGCCACAATCAACTATTTAGTTTGAATGATCCTCAAATCATCCCCAAAGCCTACAGTCAATAGAACTGGGAAACTGTCATGTTATAAGCATTGTTTTAAGTTTGAAGAACCTGATGGATTTTGAAAGATGCAGATGCAATTTATCATCACTGACACATAATGCCGGATTATAAAGAATGAGCATTTGTTGGGATGTATGTCCCATACCTCCCATAGTTGCCAGTCATACATCTACCCAAACAGCTGTTTACAAAGGGAGCTTTAGGACTCAAACCTGTATTCTCAATGTACTAACATTTCCCATATGCACACCTTCAGATGCTTAAGTGCTTGTTCTGCAACCAGCTCTTCTTTCTTGTTCCATTCAACAGCGTTCATTATACAAGTCCACAGGAGCCCAATCACTGCTGGTTCCAGCAGATCGTTTCTTTTCATTTCTTCTTTTACATAAAGCACCATCTGGAGTGGGAAATTTAAAAAAAAAAAATCATCTTCAAGCCATTACCTTAAATAACACCTCCCTGTCTGCTGTCAATGTCTGCCAATAATGATATTTTTGCAGTTTGTTGATCCAATTCTCAGTGGTGTACAGAAAAAATAGAGAAACTGGGAGAGAAATATAAAAAAGGAGGAAGCATGTCATATTGCTATATGTTTTTGATTTGGTTTTGAAGGATTGTTTTTGTACACCATACCCAATCCACAGGAAATATTCAACAACATAAATAAAAAGAAGTTCACTGCACTTTTATCACCACATACTGAGTGAGTATTCATACAGCTGCAAAACTCCATATGGAGAAGCAGCTTTGTTTCCTTGATAATCACTAGAGGGCAATCTTCATATGATACACAAAGCTATTCCATCCCTTTGACAAAGACTGTCCCTCGACTGCTATCACTGCAAGTGCAGAAAATGTCACCTTTTTCACCAGTTCTCATACGACGACTATTATGACTATCTTCTTGCACTGTAAGCAGTGACTCAGTTTTATTAATGGTGCAGTCAACAGTTACTGCAGTAGGTGGCATTGGCAATTCATATTCCAACATCTGCAGTGGTTTTTAAGCATTCTGCATAAATTTCTTAAGATAATTTATAGGACTTCAATGATCCTGGATGCTATTATTCTAGACTGCCTTGTCCCTTAACTCCATATTAAGATTTTGGAACTATTTATGAAGTGTTGTATAAAAGATTAGTAATGGAAGAAGTACTTGAAATATAATGTCATACTTGGCTGTTGACTTCTCCAGCACTTACTACAACATTTCTCAGTATTAATAAGTACATTTCCTGTTTTTGTATTTGCATAAGGAAACAAGGTAGGGACAGACCCCAGACCAGAGTTTCTGGAATTCTTTCCAACACCTTAACAGCAGCTCCACTCTGGGTCCCATGACTGGGTGGGAGAACTAAGCATGGAGCAACTAGTAGTATTCTGAGATGCTGCCCAATTGCCTCTCCATAGGGATACATTGGAGGAATTTTTTCTAGATTTTTTTTTTCATTTGCTTAGTTCTTCAAGGTTTGGAAAACACTGTTACAAGTCTCAGATTTTTTTTTAATTTGCTACAGCAAAAAAAAAAAAAATGCTAAAAATTCACTTAACATTGAGCCTACAATTACTCATGACCAGTTTTTACATGGTTAACTTTTATGCATGGAAACCCTTATGAAAATCAGAGCAGTAACTTCAGTTTTCTATGGGATAGGCATTACATGGAGTTATCCTGTTATTAAGATCTACATTTTATTTTTCTCCTGTGACATTCATCTGAAATCTTTTACTCTTTCTGTAGCTTAAATAAGAGAAAAACTATTTTTTTCCACCTCTTTAATTGGACATTCCTGAGAAAGACGTTCTTGGAGTTCTCTTTGTAGTTCTTTCCGAGTCCCCAATGACTGCTGGACTCTGAGGAAATCTGAAAGCTCTTTTAGGCCAGCATCTGTGAAATATTTGGCAAAATGCTCCACATTCTGCCGGTTGGCTGGAAACAGTTCCTAGGAGAAAGAATATTATTTATTTTTGTAAAGCCATTTTAAGTCCTGTCCAGAATCATAAATAACCCAGGAGATGGGGGAAGATTGTATATGCCACCCCCTTGCTATACACATGCACACAAAACCCTTCACTGTGTTGCAGAAAGAAGCAAGAGAGGATACATTTGTCATGGAGAACCTAGTTGACACAAGTAGCCACAGTTCAAGAACAGCACATGGATGGCCACTGACTCTAGAGAGTTAAATGGCTGATCATGGTTGCTAGTTACTTACATGGCTCCCTATAGTGTATGTGGAGGATTTAAGTGCTTTAAAGAAAAGGTATTCAGGAGAGGATACTGACAAATGGGCCAGCACCCAGTTCTGGCCAGGAGCCATCTGAATAATCCAAACTGTTTTCCAAATTATAGCAAAACATCATAAAAAACCCACAACAATGCAAAACTTAGCTGTATACAGGAAAGACAGAACCTCTGGTATGTTCTCTTCATGACTTTTAGCATGAGAAACAAGAGAGAGGGAAGGCAGTTCTACCTTCCCAATTCTTTGTCATGGAAATATTTGCCAGCAGATCAAGCCCAGTCTGTTCTTTTTGAGAGCCAGAATAGATGACAAGATCTAAAAGAATTTAGGACTGGGCCTGAAAATGATCACAGAGAAAGCCATTACTTAGTAAGCAGATACCATGGTTTGCCTGCAAAAGGCACCAGGTTCAGTGCTATACAGCAGAGACAAGTGTGAAGGATGAAATAGAGCAGTGGACCTTAGGTGATGGGAGCAAGATATAGGCATTAACTACTTCCTGTATGATTGTAATAGGATACTGAGACTTAAATAGGATAACTGAGAACTCAGCAGAAAAATATTTAAGGAGTTGAATGCCTATTGATGGGGTTGAACACTTATGAATATAGTCCTTCAAATCCCTTAAACATTTTCTGCAGAATTCTCTGAGCAAGAACCATACAAGCTGCATCGTTTTGCTACTATTAGTTTAATACTGAATATGTAGAGAGCTATGCTAATCCAAGCTCAGTCACCTCTAAAGTATTTAATTCTGGAATAAAGGACAAATTTAAATTAAATCATCACTGAAATTGGGAAACAACTTTATTCGAAATTGGACTACTTAGGCCAGATTACATTAGATTGCCAGAATTTCAGATCTGAGTCCAATCTTCAAGAGATGTTGGGGACTGAACCTTTACACATGAAGCATGTGCACTACCACTGAGCTAACACAATGTGCTAGGATATCATATCTCCATTGCTTAACAGGGTCTAGCTACAATCCTAGATATACTTATTTTGGGATAAACCCAAGAGGGTATTTATTTTCAAGTAAGCACTAATCTGACGAGTATGCATTACTATCTATGTGAATCTTTTCTTATGTATGATATTTTGCCTAACTGGAATGAACCATTTGACTTTTTGAACGGTGTCATTCTTCCACTACCCTGAAAGTTCCCTGATGATAGCCCAATCCAGTGGCAAATCCAAAATTAAACTGAGAAGGTTGCTTATCTCACACTTCAAAAAGCTATTACTTCAAAAGATCACAACAGTCAAAAGCAAGAACTGGAAGAAGGAAAAAAATTAAAGAAATGCTAAAGTCATATAAAGAATATCCTAGTTAGAAACCAATTTGGTTGCACTGATAAGACACATATTTTTCAAGGTCCCAGGCAAGAATGGAAATCCTAAAATAGGTTTTTAAGAATTTTGACTGAATGGCTTCTAAGCTTGGGATCTCCTTATAGATATACAACTTAGTACTGTATAGCATCATACTCAAAACTTTAACTTTAAAATCAGTCGATGGCACTAGGACATAATTATTTCCAGACTGGCTTGCAAATTTAACAGTTGCAAGATATGCTTCTGGGGCTCTTATAAGCAACTCTCTTGCTTGAACTGATCAGCAGGTAGATAACTGGAAATGGGCACCTAAGTACTTAAAAGATTGAATCTGCTCAATAAATTTACATTTGATTGCCCACCTAATTGGGGGCTTGAAGCACTTTCTATAAAATACTGTCCCTAGATATTTTTAAAAAAATATTACATGCTTCCCACAGTGGATATCTTACCCTGACACAAACTGAGATCTTACCCATTAAGATGACAAAACATTATCCTCCCATATGAAACAGGAACTGGCCTATGCCCAGATATGGAGGTTGAATCTCTATCTCATATTTTATAAAACATTTCATTTATTCATTCATTCATTCATTCATTCATTCATTCATTCATTCATTCATTCATTCATTCATTCATTGTCTAATTCCAGAATGACTTTGGGCAGTTCACAGGACAAGACAATATAAAAATACCAATCTACATAAAACAGTAAACAGATGGTGAATCTGGTCAACACATAAAACAGGTATCATACACTCAGCAGGGTCTCTAATCACCCTAGCCCAGAGACTGGGAGAAGGAATGCCCCAGTGGCGATTGAAATTTATAGACCCAATTGTCAGTAATTTTATTCCTGTGACTGGGAGGTCACTGCTTTTCTTTTATGTGATCAATCAGTATTCTGCAACATTCTTATCAATAGCTACAGCTCTCAGAAATTGCCAGGTACCTCCTTCTCAATGTTGATTCAGGATTTTCTCATAATGTTATCCTTTTATTTACCATACGTTTTGTATTTCTTTGTATGACTGGTCTTAGACCACAATTAATTAATTAATTAACTCCTTAAATAGGAGATGCAGTGAATGGTTAACAGAGGAAAGGGCCTTTTTCATACTGGTCACGCTAGATAGGATTTTATTTACTTGAGGATTTTATTTGCCCACTGTTCAGTTCTCCCCCTGCTGGTGCTTTTTAAATTCTTTGTACTGATGTTACTTCCCCGTTGCTGATTTTCTTTTGACTTTATACTTTTTCCACTTTAAATGTCATATTCATATTTTAGTTCTCTACAATTTTAATTTTCTACTCCAGGCTTCCTAGAGAAGCTTGATTATTGGTCACTATAATCAATTATAAGAACAGTAATACTTACAAGCAGTCTCTTGTCTAAATTAGCCTTTCTTAAAGAAGAGGTAACAGAATTGGCATCTTTCTCAAGCATCCATGCTTTAAAAAGCTTGACAGCAAAAGAGGCTGCTATACCTATAGAAAATAAAAGCATCATTAGCAAAAAGCCCAGGGTATTTATTTAATTCAGCCTTCAACAATCTAGTGCTCTCTAGACATGTTAGACCAGTGTTTCTCAACCGTAGCAACTTTAAGATGTGTGGATTGACTGGGGAATTCTGGGAGTTGAAGCCCATACATCTCAAAGTTGCTGAGGTTGAAAAACACTGCATTAAGCTACTATTCTCATTAGTTCCAGCTGGCACAACTAATCTCTGGCTCTGGGGGGAACTGCAGTCCAAAACATCTAGAGGACAACAAATTGGGGAGGTCTGATTTGATTTCTAAGATTCAATATGGGTCAGTCAGCTTAGAAAAGATTGTATGGCTGGCAGTCTCTCTCACATGCTGAAATATTAAGGCTTTTATTGAAATATTAAGGCTTTATTTTTTAGACCCATACTGTGGTCTAAAATTAATGTTTAAAATGTGTGCAATAATACAAGACATACAATTATTCAGATTAGACAGATACAAAACAATTGAGTAAGCCAGAGAAGTATATGTTTTCAGAGGTGACTAAATATTTGGATGTCTAAAACACCTTATTCCACAAGAAGGTAAAGAAGAAAGAGAGCAAGAAAGCAAGAGCGAGCAGAGATTAACAGCATGTGTTATTTGGCAAACACAGAATCTAAGCAGCTGAGTTACCATAGTTATCATCTGTTGAGAACAGAAGTATACCTAGCCATACCATATTTCCAACATTTTTTGTACACAAGGAAAGTTCATCTGAGTTCAAAATAGGTTATTCAATTGTGCCTGCCCATAGAGGAATTTCATCAATGGGCAGGCACAGTTGAATTCTCTCTTCTGTCCCTATTACAAGATTTTGCATCCATCCTGAGACACTTGGATGAAAGAATTGCAAGCGCATTCAAAAATGTAATTAAGTGGAAGAGAACAGAAATGGTTTTAGTACCCCTCCCTCAATCCAGGCACTTGCTTGTGTTATAGAAAAAGCAATGTTCAGAAGTTTGTTGAGTAATTATTAAGTTGTTCTTAATCCCACAATGAAAAGTCACTATACTTGGGGAGCAGACCTCTGGCATTGCCTCATCCACTGTTAAAACCTGCTCTGCCTCTCAAGCTACTTTGAAAGATAAATTACATTTTAAAGTAAGAGTACATTGGAACAACACTCTCTTAGCAAAAAGGAGCCACAAAATCTTCAATCTGGAACTGCAATGCAGAAAATAGTGGGTTTTAATCTCACGTTTTTCTTGCTTAAAATGTTATCTCTACTCTAAGCATTTTTTGCCTAAACATTTTTAGGCAAAGATCACTTTTTGGTGGAAAAACATCAAATCAAATGGATTATCTCTTTTCTTTCCAATAAGTCCCGGTGGTTGGTCGGTTGGTTGATTTTTGGTAAGAGAGATGTACTAGCAATTCCTAAGCAAACTCAATTTTATGAATACAATTGCCCTAACATGTTACTGTACTTGGCCATCAGGTTCAAGATTACTTCTTGGACATACCAATTTCCTGATTTCCTCTCCCCCTCCCCAGCTTTTTTCTGGTGAGGTAATTATTCCACCCTAATGTACCAAACTATGCAAAAATATTACCCATTAGACAAAATTGCAACTTAAATTCACAAGATGACATCCAGGATTCTCAAATTAAATCCTAGTTATTCAATATTAACAAAATAAAATAACAAAATTATCAATAGAACAATTTATAAATGCACAGTATATATTGTTTGCAATTTATTAATTTCTAAGAGGAGGCAATGGAAAATATAAAAGCTTCTCAACAGAGTGAGCCTTAATTCTAAGGCCACAACATCAAAGATCCTGTCTTTTCTTTATAAAGATAACAAGGATATCCTGTGGGAGAAGATCATGTACATCCCTGGAGGGGGTGGAGAGAATCCCCAATTACCTTCTTTGACAATGTTGTCAGTGAAAAGGCTTGTTAAAATGGTAGCAGGTAGCGTCCCATTAGCTAGCAAGATTCCAGTGAGGATTGCCAATTTTGCCTGTTCAGTTTCGGAAAAGGCTTTAAGAAATAGCAGGAGCTGTGAGGCAAAAAAGAGGGACATGTTTTTGGAAGGATGTAAACACACAAGAGAAAACAACCTGAAGTGCCCAGGGCTGCCAAAAATAGTTAATGCAATAAATCTGACTTCAGAATTATCAAAAACTAGCCTAAAATTTAAAGTGTGGAGCACTGCATGGGAAAGAATGATATCTGTATTAAATTAATTGAATGTAACTTAAAGTCAATCCAATTATTTTTTTATTCTGCCCTCATCTCTGATTTGAAATGAATTCAGCATAACGAAGAATAAATAGGGTAGATATATTTGTGTCAGAACGAGGAGAACACAGAGTACAAAGCAGAGTGTTAGTTACACTTTGATCCACGGCTTTGCGTCAAAAATTCAAAACTGGATAATCATCTCAGTGTTGCCGACAACAGAATGCACCACGTGGGCATAACTCCCACCCCACCCCCATTCCCAGGCTTCTGACGACCTTTAGAAGAGGAATAAAAAACCCTATAAAAATCCAAGTTGCTGTTGGAAAGACTCTATTTCAATGCCTAAGTACAAATATAAAGTTCTCTTATCTATATGAGCATTTGAATTTTTTCAATCTATTTAGGGAGCAGATAGCTAAATTGATAAAGATATTGCTGGTTATCTGCTGATACTAAATAGGTGAATTCATATGCTCTTCCTGAGCCTGGCTGCTGTTGAAAAAAATGGATGTACTGTATATTAAGTTATTAAATACAGCAAAATGAAGGAAGAACTTATGCTTCCCTGCCTTCCCTACAAGCCCTGTTTAATAAGCCATGGAAATGAAAAAACAAAGTTCAAGGAAGGAAAAAGAACCTCTAAAGTAGAATAAATTATAATCAAAGACCTCCAACCACCATGAGTCCTTCTAATAAAGCCAGCCTCAGCAAATGAAAGTACCTAGTCACTACTGGCTGATTTCAGAAGCTAAGTAGGGTCAGCCCTGATTAGTACTTGGATGGGTAGACTAGGAAGTCAGAAATTCTAGAGGAACACAATGGCAAATCATTAGTAATACAACTGTACATGTAAATTTAAATGTAGGGGTAGAACAATAATCTCTAAACTTTAAATCAGCTCTGTGAGACTACAGCAATTGCTTATGAGTAATTCTAGATATATAACTGGCATAAATCTTCGACAACTTTCTAGTACGCATCTAGCAATTGTCAAGCAATCTGGATGGTTTTTAAAAAACAACAACTAGATATAATGAAATGTTAGTTTAATCTCTCCCAAACTAATAGTGACTTCAGAATAAAATATAACAGCAAAGTAACATGACTATAGAGCAACTGGCCGCCGTGAGAACAGACGGCTGGACTAGATGCGTCAGGGATCCGATCCAGCAGGGCATTACTTATATTAGGACCCATTTCATAGACTTGAAAGCAGCCATTGGTACAGCATCCTGCTCGCTGCAACAATCCAAACTACAAGATCCTTGAAGATGAGATCTAGCGAATCAATTACTATGCCAGAATCTGCTTTCTTGCAATCAAAGATATGCATGCTATTACACTCAACTTATTTCCCCTTAAACTTAAGATTTCCAGTATAATATAGTCACTTTCCCCAACGTTTGGCCCTTAAGTTTTGGTCCTTAAAACCCTTAAAATTGGGGGAATTATTTGGAGTTTTGTTTTTTTAAAAAGGCAAAATGGCTGCTAATTGAAAGGGAATCTAAAATATGTCTAAGGTAGTATCCATTTTTATACTGTATAAGCTTAAAGCCTGGAGTATTAAAATACACTTGTACCTCTGTATGCTGAGCTCCCCAGCTAAGGTCAGTTGGAGGGCAGCAGTGGGAGAAAAGAGGAGCTAAAAGGGGAAAAGTACTTTCTGTTGTTGAAATAGAAAATAGATAATTGTCGTTAACAATAAACTTCAGCTTACAAGTTAGCAAAGCTGCCTATTTAAGGTTTACAAAAGCAACAAAAGAACAGCATATAGTTACAAGGTTTGCAGAAGTATACTTATTATTTCACTCCTTTATAGAGTAAGATTTCAGCAGCAGCAGCAGCAGCAGTTTTCTCATACCTCAAGTGCTGTTTTAGTTCTTCCTTGTTATTTTCCCTTTTTTTTTTTACTTTTGCCTGTACTTGTATTCAATGGCTGCTCAAGATCAATGCAGTGGGCAAAATCAAGGCTGAAATTATCCTTACCTGGCTGTTGACTTAATAGGGAGAAGAATGGGAGAAATGGCAACAGCTAGGCCTGGAACCAGCAATAAGAGAGTTTCCATGTTTTCTCTCCATGCTAGTTCACATCTTGAGATATCTTCAGGCTTCCCAATTTATCATATTCCTTCTAAGAGGAAACAGTTGTTTAGAAATGTCCAATTGTTAAAAACTCACAAGTTCAAGTTCACTCCAGGAAGTTCCTCTTTTGCACAAAGGTTTTTCCCAAATAAAGTAGCTTTATTTCACTGCTTTATGTATTGTTTAATGTTCCAATTGTGGAGGTTTTCCAAGGGATCTCTCTCCACCCAACACCTGTTTCCCATTCAAGTCACAAAGTAAGGTAAGGGAAAGGGAGAGACTCTCTGGAGTTGAACTCAACTCCTGGCAACTACATGGACCCATTCATTTTGTAATCTTTGTTGCAATAAGGAGGTAATTTGCCATTGCTTTCTTCCAGGATATTTTTTCAACTTCCAAGACAGCCCTGAGATTTCCTGGTGGTTTCCTATCCAAGTACCAAGTAGACTAAACTAAACTAAACAATGAAACACACTCTGTTTAGCTTTTTGTGATCAACCAAGGTTGGCTGAGCCACCTGCTTAAACTGGTAGCTACAATTTAAATTGTTTATTAGTTGTAATGAATGAAGAACTTCTGCACCAAGGAATGCTCAATTCTGTAATTCAAACCAGCTCTGCGAACTGCACTGTACTATATACTGCTATTTTGCATATTTTAAAGTCTAATAATGGAAAAAAGAAAGAAAATGAATAACTTAATTCCTGGAAAACCTATTCAACTGCCCTCTAATTTCAACATGCATTCCTGACACTCTGACAAATCTATATGCAGCCTCTAAGAGACAGAGACAGAATCTTGCTTTTTAATGAAAATCACAGAGCTATGGTACATATGTAATCTTCAATAAATCCTTGGCTGTGCTTGTAAAATATTTCTAGACCAAGTAACTAATGTCATCATCATTATTACAGGTAGATCGCGATTAGTGTGAGTTTGAATAATGCAATATTCAATTTAGTGCAAATTGTAAATTGATACCAGGTGACATTTAATATGACCCAAAATTCAGATAATGCAAGGCTAGCATGCATGCAACTGAGGCTAGTGCATGCACAATTGCAGTTGCGGTTTTATATGCTGCTCATCTTCATATGTGCAAAATAGAGAAAAGGAAGATTCCATCAGTGGAAAATAGTACAAGTTTAAAAAAGAAGAAGCTTGTTATTACATTAGAGCAAAAATTTGATGTAATTGAATGAGATCAATGTGGTTATAGCAATGCTAAAATAGGACAAGATGTTGGAATGGCTGAATCTACAGCGCGCAATATTATAAAACACACAGGGGAAATTTAAAAAATGGTAAAGTTGCATCAGCTTTTTGTGGTTTGCAAACATCTACAAGGACACTGAGAGTCAATAAAGATGTTTTCATCAGTGTAAGCTATCTTTAGGAATGATATTTAGAAGTGGGGTTTTTTTTGTTTTTATTTTGCTTTCTATAACTGTTCTGTGACTTCGTTAAACATAAATTTAAATTATAAGTATATTCTTTTTATCCTTTACTGTAATATTTCATTAATATACATATAAGATTTATGTTTAAATTTTTTCATTGCCTATTTTCATTGAGCTGGAACCAATTACCCTATTTTCCATAGAAATATCACTTCAAATAATGCAACCATTTTGTGGGATTCATTAACCACACTAATCAAGACCTACCTGTATTACTGTCTAATGTAAGCTAGAATGTGCTCCCCAATCCTGGTGCTTGCCAGATATGTTTCTTAGCATAATCTTTGAATGGAAATTATTGAACTTGATGCCCAAAACACTTGGGGGGGTAAATTTAGGAAAGTCTAGCTTACAGATGCAAGCAAAAGAACTTTTACTCACCTTCACCCTGAAACCCTGGGAAATGTATGCAAATATGAAGCTGCTGTAATACCTCAGATCTTAGCAGCCAAAACACTTACTCATTCTACTTGAAGCACATTAAAAAGTTCCTACATATTATAAACTGATTCCCAGATTATAAAAGAAATATTACTGTTAAAAGAAAATAAAGGTTACCTTTTTGATTTCATCTTCAAATGCTTTTTCCAAATATTTGTATCTCCTGATGAGTTTATTGAAGACCTAAACATAAAAATAATCAACATTAACACAAGTAGAAACCAGTTATCCAGTTGTCATCTGTAAGAATGCTTATAATTAATCAATGATAAAACTAAAATGCAGATTAGATATATATATTCATTTACTTATTTATTAAATCATCTAAACTTTTTTTATTTATACAGACAGATGTATAACACTACCCTCACTGGTCTTCAGTTTATTTCTTTGTGTTATGTTCAGTTCATTCTTGTTACAGCAAACAAACCACGATATTTCAATGTAGTGAGTAAATCAGAAAGCAGGAACACAAATCAATATTTTAGTCCTAAAGCTTCAAACAATTTATTACTCCACTGATTATGATTTATCCTAATAAAATGTACATCAGATATTTTCAAAAATAAACTGCTAACTCAGTAGCCATTTATAGTCATTTTGGAATTCAAGCTGAATCTTGACAAGATGGAGGATTCAAACAGATGAATCTCCTGTCAGTGAATTTACTGTGCAGCCTGTTAAAACAAGGTTGGAGTTCCTTTCAAACGAAGGGATGACGCAGATTGTCTTTGCCAGGATTAGCTGGCTCACCAGGTAAAATGATTCATTATTAAGGATAATCTGGCCATAGAGCTTTATGTTCAAGCATCCTGAATTCAACACTGAATATAGGACTACTTTTGGAAATGATCCAGCTGCTTTAGTTAGTACAAAATATAGCTGCTAGAAAGTTAGCTGAACTGGCCGAATGGGATTATATCACTCTGATACAAAGAAGCTGCTGAAATTGTCCTGTCTATTTCCTAGTAGGGTCACTTCAAGATGCTTATGCAAATTATTTGGGACACAAATATCTGAAAAATGCCTCTCTCTTCCTCAGACAGCCCAGGTTTTAAGGTTTATCAGGAATTATTCTTCACAAATTATCTTCCTCATTGTACAACTGCTAGGAAATGAGTCTTCCCTATTATGATATACATTTTGTTGCCTTTAACAACTTTATTTTTATAATTTGTTTACAACAGAGTATGTGACAGTTTGTAGGCATGAATTATATGTACTCATATACCATCCTTTTTCACACATGCTATGTCATAGATTATTAAATGAGCAACCATTAACTGGATTCATACGACACTTTAGACCATAAACCATCTTTTACAAATCACAATGGCTTAATATGATGTATGAACCCAGTCTCACACCTACACACCCAAATCTGTATGGAGAAGAACAGGGTCAGACTTAATCCCAACAAGACAGAGTGGCTATGTCTATGGAAACTTTGATTCCAGGGATCCTCCATCTTCAGTTCTTGAGTGGGTACACTTCCTCATGCAGAATTGGTTCATCATCTGGCAGTCCTCCTGGACTCATTCCTGCTTGAAGAGCAAGTGACAACTGTGGCCAGGAGAGCTTTTGCACAGTTATATCTGATATATCAGTTATGACCATTCCTGGACTAGAAGGCCCTGCTTATAGTCATTGATGCCTTATTTACCTCTTTGTTTGGATTACTACAACTCATTCTATTTGCATCTTTCTCTGAATCTCACCCAGAAGCTTCAACTGGTTCAGAATGCAGCTGCTTAAGTACTGATGGGAGAATCAAATTTTCACTTCAAGAGCTATACTGATTGTCAGTTTGCTTTTGGGTGCAATCCAAGATTCTGGTTAACATCTTTAAAGCCCTAGATAGATTAGGACCTGGTTATCTACGGAACTGTCTTCTCCCAATGGCTTCTGCCCATCCAGTAAGATTGGGAAGGATAGGCTCAATCCAGGCTTGACTCTGTGGGCCTCTTCTCTTAGGGACTGTTATCTTCGGGGCCACAGAATCAAGGCTTCTTGCAAGCTGCAGAATCAGACTAGCTTCTACCCTGTTTAGATTCAGGAAAGCTAATAAAAACGAATTAGGAGTGGAATTAATATATGCAGCAAACTCCCTTTATGGGTTGTGCTTTGATGTTTGAGTGTTTCTCAGATGGTGAAATTTTCTTTAATTTGAGTTGTAATGCTAACTGCTTTTAGCTTTGATGATGATGATGATGATTTTATTAGCTTTCTTTCTGAAAAAGGAAAGTGTAAGTCACTCAGAGTCCTTTTGGACTGGAATACACATAAGCCCTAATAAATAAATAAATACGTTCAGCAGCATCTTGGTATTTTTTGATGAGCCTGTCTGTGGGCATTTCTTAAAATATTTAAAGCAGTAGTGAACCTGAGCATAGTGTCGGAGGGCATCATGATCTTCATCTGCAGAAAACACACAGTGGTTTGTCATCTTGGTTTTATCATTATCATCTATTCTTGTCCCACCTGGAGCTGAAAACACACATAATAATAATAAATTATTATTTATTGTTTATAAATAATAAACAATCTAATATTATTCACATGAGAAACAGAGCCAGTGTTCACTTTTTGTATATACATACATGCTTACACAGTACATGTGTTCAGAATGGAGGCATGTGCCAAATGAAGTAAGGCTCAATAGAAAGCGTTTTCAACCATGTGACTACAACATGGTACGAGTGTCAAACCTTACAATGACACTGCCTATAATACAGAATCTAGTTTTAGCTTCTACATTAAATACTACTTCATATATTTACAGTAATCATGGATGTCCAAAGTCTGTAAAACAAGCTTAAGATATACACCACACACAAGGAGGAGAATAAAGATAGGAACAGTTCTTTAACACTGCAGCTAGACAGAATCAAGGGGATATGTTGCCAGCGCTAGCTTTGAAGGACATTTTGAAGGTTTCTATATGACATACGTACCTAGCATGCTGCCAGCTATCAAAATATCAAAGAGAGTGTCAGCATAGCGCCGGTAATCTAGCCTTGAGCCTGTAGCATCCAGAAACTTGGCTACCGCTTCCAGGTCATCACCAGCTTCATTGAGACCTTGGACAATTGTATCCCGGAAGACAGTGGGTTCAAATTTCTCCTTTTCATCTGTAATAGAAAACTAGGTACTAATCATGTTGTACAATATTTCTCAGCTATTTACCAGAATGTATTACACAGAAAGCAAACGACTTTTGTTGATTGGTCTTTTCCCATTCTCAGCATATGCTTATTAATAAATTACTCACTATACAGCTGAGAACACTGTACACATTGTACTTCCTGCTAGTTCTCCTTTTTCTAATCAGTTTTTAACTCAAATGCTTTTAAAGTTATTGTAGAATTTCAAAGCAGTATTTTTAATACTGAATTTCCATACTTTCAAATTAATAGCACAAACAGAATTTGTATGGTGGTTTTTTTCATTGAATCAGCTTCTTAAATTGACTGGGAGGGCGATTAAACATTTCAGATGATAGCATTCTTCTTTCTGATCAAGTGTACTTCATATGTTGATAACAGCAATAAATAAATTTAGCAATTAAAATCCCTCAGGTGGTGAAGTCACATCAAGTTTACACTGTTGTTTAGAACTGCATTTTTCTTTCTTCATGTGAAGCACGTATAAGATTAGAAACATACCCTTCTGTTTCCAGCTATGTACAGTCTGTTATGTTCGAAAGTAATTATACTTAGCATTAACAGTTTTTTTAAACAAGCCAATATAGTCTGAAGTTAGCTTATTTCAATGGGCGATACCTGATAATTATGCTACAGTAAATCATAATGTAGTTTGTTTCAACCAAGCATATTACATAAGCAAACTTCTATTTTTACAACTTGCTCCATGTTGTGTGATCACAACAGTATGTTTCCACAAATACCACCATTAAAACAAATCATTACTTCATTACTTTGTTTTTTGTTTGAGGGAAGAAATAAAACATACAATATTGTATAAAGGTTTCAGTACTACTACAATAAAGATAAATTGTTAAGCCTACCCCTTTTCCTAGTTTTGAACCGCTGGCCTGTTAGCACTGGCTTCTGATGCTTATTCATAAAATTTCTGGAATACAAATTTTAAATATTATTTTAAACATAAGTATTTTAAAATCAAAAGACTCAATAATACTAAACTAAAAGTACAAGTGATTAATATCTCTATTTCTTGATTTAGGAAAATGACCCTCAAAAGGCCACAACTGTTGCAACAGAGAGGTCAAATTATCTCCATGTAGTGCTATCACACTTTTTGTGGATAGCCACATTGATTCTACATGTTCTGCCCCATGCAGTTTAACATGGATCACCCTAAATCCAGTTTAGGTTCCTACATTCTACACACATGTACTGTCTTCTTCATTCCAGTTTCTCTCAGACACATGGATCCTTAGCATTCAAAACTTTGTTAATCCCATATATTGCTTTCAGCCACTCCACCATATCATTATATCTCAAGGTCTAAACAGCTCTCTTCACTCTCCAAAGCCTACTGTTAAATATTTGTCTCTTCACCACTATGCTTCCAAGGTACTGTACAAGTTGGTGAAGTCACCAGGCTTCTATTCTCTCCAAACCACAGGATAAGAATAATTCAGGTCTTCCTTGCAAGACAATTTTAAGAATTATTGAGTTAATATAAAGTACTTTCAACATGTGACATAAACTAAAGAACATTCAGGGGAACGACATCTTGCTAAGGTGATCTGGAGGGGGAGAAGACCATTACCTAGAACCACACTGAGTACATAAGACCAAAGGCAGTAAATCCTTAAGGAAAGAAGAGGCAAGAAGGAAGAAATACTGAAGAATATATCAGAAGATGCAGCAGGGAAAGGGTAGAATTAAAGGCCTCAGATGCCTGTACACCTATCTGCAAAGTATGGGAAACAAACAGGCAGAATGTAAAGTCCTAGCATGGAAGGGCAAATATGATATTGTAGGAATCACTGAATTTCAGTGGGATGGATCTCATTACTGGAATATACTACTGGAAAGATATAATTTGCTCAAAAGAAACAAAAAGGGAGGTGGAATTTCATTATATGTAAAGAATGACAACACCTGCATGGAAATTCATGACCCCAAGGATGAAAACCCTGCTGAAAATGTCTGGGTGAATATTAAGGAAAAAGAAACAAAGATGACATTGTTGTGGGTGTGTACTATAGTCCACCCAACCAAACAGAAGATATAGATGAAATATTCACAAACCAGATGGCCAAGGTATCCAGGAAATACACCACTGTGACAATGGGGATGTCAACTTCCTTGACATCCATAGGAATCAAGCTCTGCAGCAAGTGGAGATGCAACACTTGATGTGCCTTGCAGACAACTTCATCATCCAAAAGGTAGAGAAAGGAACTAGAGGATCAACTATATTGGACTTAATACTTAATAAGAGAGAAATATTCAAAGAAGTGGAAGTGGTAGGAACCTTGGGAAAGAGTGCCCATATAATCCTAGAATTTGCCATACTGCAGGCAGAGAGAATTGAAGAGGTCCCAGGAAACTGATCAGCTTGACGTAAATACCTGGGAAAATCCTAGACAAGGTAAGCAAACAGTGGGTTTGCACGTACTTAGAAACTAACAAGGTTATTACCAGAAGCCAACATGGATTTGTTAAAGCAGGTCACGCCAGACAAATTTTATTGCTTCCTTTGACAATGTGATTAGTTTAGTGGACCAAGGGAATGCTGTGGATGCAGTGTACTTTGACTTTAGTAAGCCATTTGATAAAGCTGACTATAGCCTCTTTCTTGATAAACTGGAACAATGGGGGATGGATGATTCTGCTACCATATGGATTTGTAGTTAGCTGAACAACCATAGCCAACACATGGTCCTTAATAGCTCTATGTCCACATGGAGGGAGATATTACAGTGGGGTACTCCAGGGCTTTGTCCTGGACCCAGTATTCTTTCAACATCTTCATAAATGACTTAAATGAGGTCTACATGACCAGGTTTGTTGAAGGAGTGTTGAGTGAGGCAAGGGAGAAACCACAATCACCTTTAAGTCCAAAACATTTGTCTCCCTTGCCTTCACTATTTGTATATCCCTACCCTGTTGAAGGACACTAGAACACTGGTGAAAACAGCCAGCCAAGAATCAGATCCTGAAGATCTGTCCACATTTGTTCTGCAATCCATCTCTACAACTTCTTTCAGAAGAAAATGAAAGATGACACAATAGAAAGGAAAAGAATTTCTGTGAATATGTCCATGGAATTATATGTGAAAGGGTAAATAGAAGAACTGCTCCCAAACCAGAGCCAAGAATTTCCAAAAAGATTTGAGTCCAAATACTAGGGCTGTACAAATCCTTTGAAAGAGCTATGTGGCAATTCATGCAGGTGCAAACCAAGCATTTTTCTAATTATGAAAACAGTTGTGTGTGGTTCCAAGCTTGTACAGATGTTTTATAAGCTGCTCTGGACAATTTTTGGTCTGTGCTTGGCATGCACATTTCATCATTCAAAGGAAAGTCGTTTGCATGCCTTCCCAAGTGCTGTAAGGCATTTCTTTTGAGGCTTATACAGTCCTATCTTGTATACCAGTAAAACATCTGGAGAAAAAGTAATGGCAGACTATTTGCATACTGCTACCAAGAACACTACATGTACATATCCATGAAATCACCAGAGGTTGAATTCAATTTGATACAGTTTTTACAATATAAATTCATCAAAAACTGCCTGAGGGGAAAGGCAGCTAGATCAGCAAGTAACCAAATCAAAATACATTAAGAACGGGAACCACCCAGCTTTCTTTTCTTTCAGTATGGTTCAAAAATTTTTTTTAAAGTTTTATTTCACAAATAATCCTGACTGTAGCTGCTGGGTTAGCAATAAGCATTAACTTTTTCCACAAAAGAAGTGAAGTTCTTGATTTAAAAAAAACAACTCTCAAACCCCATTATTAGGGGGAAGGATTTTTTAAAATTATTTTAACCATCAACTTTTGAATTGCATCTTCATTTTCATTGTGTAGCAAAAGTTACAGTTTCAATAATATAAGACAAATACATCCAAGAAAGTAAGTAAACTCGTTAGATATTGTGCTGCCACAATAGAAATCTAACAATACATAAGATAATCAATGGGACCAAGAACAGTCCATGTTGAATTAAGTCAGCCAGATGGATCAATGAAGTCTTTTTCTTAAAATCACAACATTTAAAGAGACAGCCAGATTTATGTTAATCATCCTGGCAACCATTAATACATGTTATTCTTCATGAGTAGCCAGGGTCAGGGCAAAAGGAAACACTAAAAATAATGCATAGAAATAAATTCTAAAAGTGAAAGGAAAACAAAAAATCTTAATCAAAACCAAGAGAACCACCTATAGTGAATTTAACAAACTGTTTCACTGCAAAGCAGAAGTGTCACTCCAGAGATTATTATCTTACATCTATATTTAGCTCTAAAATGCATCACACTATAATCTGCTTTAAGCCAGGCTTTATAAGGTAGTCACTAAAACACTAGTCACGAAATCTGCTGAAAGAGCAGCCAGAGCAAACAACAATACAATATGTTGCGATATATAGGCATATTTCATGTACATCAAGTTAACAGCTACAACTTTTCATTTAAGGAAAAGAATGTAAACTAAAATCTATACTAGGAACTAACAAGCTTAAACTACAATCGGATATACATTTAGTTGTGAGTAAGCCCCACTAGGCTTAGATCTGCTGAATATACATTAATAAAAGTTCACTCTACACAAATGACACCTAGCTGGAGGAAGAAAGTATATCTCACTTTCAACCTGAAAATATTTCAGATATATTAAGTCAATATTTTGTACTGAGTGCTAGAGAGGAGGGAAAAAAACAGAACAAGACTTCTGGTGAAGAGTAAACAGATTATCCATTGTCACAATTACAGATCATGCAAGAAAGATGCTAGAGCAGGTTCACCCAACCAGATGCCCTTCCGATGCATTTGATTATAACTAGAGATAAGAGGAATTGTAGTACAACACAAGTGGAAAGCACTGCTGGGCTTGAGTGTTGACTTGGTCCACCTTTAGTTGTGAAAATCACATTGTGATAAAAACATACTCAGTTTATTGTGAGAATAAAATGATTAGTATTAGTAAAAAAAAAAACTTCATACACCAATCTGAGAGATTTTGGAGACAAGTCAGGATAAGGGCAGATGTATTTTGTGACCATTATTTGTGTACTGAGGCAACTACAAGACAAGCAGGAAGTGGAAAGGGCACTCAAAAGTATTGCCTTTAGACTTTAGAGAATTCATCATTTTCTCCCTTTCTGGGATTATTGTCTATATTAACTGATTTGCCATACTATTCTTAGGTACCTGCTAAGAACTGTCAACATATTGCAGAGTACTTCACTACACATTTGCGGGTACATCAACACTTCAAATAAGGAAGCTGTGTACCTGGTTCTTGCTTCAGGTGAATGGAGGATATCCTTAATCTACACACTGTAGAGGAAGATTATCTGTTTTTTTTTTCAGGAAGCTTGTCTTCATATGCTAATGTTTTAGTTGGCAAACTATGCTAAGCTTCCAAAAATCTCCCGGAACTCATGTTTAAAAACCACTGACGTAAAATAAAACTTGGAAAGAATGAGGTATGGAATTACAAGCTTTGACTGCTATCTTAAACACACTTGCCTCAGAGACTGGATTCACACATAGCCTAAGATACGATTTAACCATATAGTAGTTTACTGAATAAAACACAACGGTCTGGCTTTGTCAATATACTAAGCCAAACCAAATCAAACCAAAGCACATTATGGCTGAGAGTTCTGAGTAATGTTAGGATTACACTGTGAATTCAGAATGAGAGGACATGGCATTCAATAATTTAATTTCTATTGCACTGCATGATATAAACTTCCTTAAGAGCATTCATTGCTCAAAATGTGAAAAAATAATAACAAAACAGCATTTCTGTTGATATGAAAAGTTCTTAAAAGTTCACAGTAAAGCCCCATGATATTGCAGAAACAGCAACATATGTTCAAGGTCAAACAGAAGTACCATGACTGAGAAGCATGGCATGAACTGAGCATATGGAAGAAAAAGAAACAAAAATGTTTCTATTTACATGCTGGAATGTGATTTAATCAGAGACACATGAATAAGTGGTTAAAGCCTGGAGAAAGCAAGAACAGAAGAAAGCACTAAACTGAATGCTTCTGAGCTGCATTTTTAAATGTCTTAAAGGAGCATATACCATCACAGAACAGATATGGGAGCAGTATTTTAATACAAGCATCTCCAGTACATTTTAATCAGTTTGCTGTTATGTCCTAGTCAAAGGCCTGTTCTTCTGGTAAATAAATGAAATATATTTTGGCAACATTCTCTGTCCATGCAGACTTTGGAAGGCTTCTTGCAGACTTAAATCAAAACGGTGAATTGAACTACAGCTGTGCATGTAAGAATTAAAGGTAGCATCACTGGTGTAGGGATTAAATCAATTCCATTTAGAGTACTTTCATTTTTTCAGAATGAAAATGCATAATATATTTTCTCTATTTCATAGAAACCATACTCCCTTACACCATCATACGTATTTTCAAGCCAATTTGGTCCAGATAGTAGTTATGGTGATGAATCAAGAGTGTGGAAACCTAAGTTCTAGTCTTTATTTCATTTATATTCTGCTTTTATTTTGTATGTGGCAGGGTGAAGTGCCCAGCTGGAGGAAAGTGGCTGGGGCTATACCAAGGTCACAGTTTTTTGTTTTTTTTTAAAGGGAGAGCAGCTGACTTAGCACAAGACCAAGAGCACAAGGCTGGAGTGGCTTGTGAAAGTGTGGAAAGACCAAGAGAATGAACTGTGTTGTGTTATGGGAATTCAGATGCTGACCAGTGGAACTTTGTGAGTTAAAAGCTGTGTTCGGCAGCAAGACAGCTGGGAGAAAACTCACAGGTATTCCAGTATCAGGAACTGAGGTAAGGAAGGGGAGAAGAAGCCGTAATAAATTACAAGCAGAAAGTGAGGGAAAGAAATATAAGAGGGAAGAAAATTAAATAGATTAAGACTTGACATTATATTTCTTATCCTATTCTGTACATTCATAGGAAAACATACTGGTTTTGTAAATAATACTTTCACTTGTATATATTAGAGCACACTATTTCATTAGTATAGATATCATAGTGTCCAGAACAAAATCCCTTATTTGTATGGCTGGCTATATGTGTCTGTGTGTATTACCCATTCTCTGACATTGTACAACTCAAGGGGTTGTATATAATGCTCCAGTCTCCTAGTTTTTCCCTAACAACAACCCTGTGAGTTGTGGGCTGGGCTGAGAGAGAATGGCTGGCCCAAAATCACTTAGCTAGTTTCTATGCCTAAGAGAGGATTAGACTATGCCAAAAATAAATGATCTCCCAGTTTCTAGCCCAGCACCTGAACCACTACCAAACCGGCTCTCTGAATAGTCTTGCTCTAGACATGAAAGCCAGCTGGGTAATCTTGGGTCAGTCCCTCTCTCAGCCCTAGGCAGGAGGCAAGGGGAACCACTTTCTAAAAAAGAAAACTGCAGGGATTTGTTTATGTAGTCATTAGGAATCAAGACTATGACTGGAAGGGAAGGGAAGGGAAGGGAAGGGAAGGG